CAATAAATATAACAAATAATAGAAAAAACATCCTATTTCAAATCCATTATAATTAATACATTTGTATATGATAAGACTTAAAATAGATACACATTTATTCATCTTATATAAAGATAATTGTATTTATACTACATTTAAGATATACAAAAAAATTGACAAACGTATATATGAGTCCATAGTTCATGTTAGTAATTTTTTTTGAACTCATATATACATCTATCGTCCACACCAATAGCTTTAACTGAACGCATATATGAGTCCATAGAGTTCAAAGATTTAACTACGTTTCTTATTACGCAAAACTATCTCATAGAAATATTCTATTATAAATATATTATATATAATTTGAATATATAATGAATATTAATATTAACAATGTTTGTGCAGACCTTAGGTACAACAATTATGGAACCTATGAATGAATACAGATTAACCTCATGGCTAGCCCAACAAGAAGATCAACATCGAATTTCTTTATATCAGTGTGATTCGACTTATACATTATGGACTCAAAGATGCGTACGACAAGCAGATTGTATATTAATAGTAGGTTTAGGTGATCGTACTCCGTCTATAGGACGTACAGAACGTGAGGTAGAACGTTTAGTCATGCGTACACAAAAGGAATTGGTACTTTTACATAAAGAACAAAGCGGCCAACGACCTACAAATACTGTACAGTGGTTAAACATGAGATCTTGGGTCTCCAGTCATCATCATATTCAATGCCCTAAACGAATGTTTACTAGGAGATCTCAATATAGAATTGTAATTATATATATATATATATCTCTCTCCAACTCTCTCTTTTAATTATATATCTTTTAATAAGTTATATTTAATATAATAAGAAAAATAATACAAATATATTTCCTTCAGAATGAATTATACTCAAAAGTACTAATGTCCGAGCCAAACGTACATAGCGATTTTAGTAGATTAGCACGTTGGTTGACAGGCACGTCGGTTGGTTTAGTACTTGGTGGAGGAGGTGCTAGAGGTGCAGCACATGTGGGAATGCTCAAAGCTATTATAGAAGCTGGAATTCCTATAGATATGGTTGGTGGAGTCAGTATTGGTGCCTTTATGGGTGCATTATGGTGTATGGAAAAAAATATAACAACGACAACGCAAAAGGCTCGCGAATGGTCTAAGGTAAAATAAAATAATATTTAATCATTATTAACTATAAAATAATATTTCATTTGATATCTTATTCTATCTCATCGATGATGCATTCATTTGATTCGTATCATATGTCGTAGAAAATGACTCAATGGTGGAGACAAATTTTTGATTTGACTTATCCTATGACATCAATGTTCTCCGGCAAAGATTTTAATAAAACTATTCAAACAACTTTTGGAGATACTTATATAGAAGATCTATGGCTTCCATTTTTTACTATCACAACTGATATTACTGATTCTTGTATGCGAACGCACACCCACGGTATGTATTTAAACAAACATATATTGAAATATTAAGCTAATAGTTTATATAGTTCAATCTTGTAGACTTTTTATATCTGCTTGTAACATTCATTTATTATTTTGCTCTCTCTATATACATATATATAAATTATGGATATGTTATTTTAGAATATTATATGTAGCAAGTTCCTTGATTAGGGGAGTGAGCTTTTTTAATAATTATTGTTGACGTACTCTCCGTTTTATCGCTTTTGATGAATTATAAATTGGCAAAATTTATAGCTTGTTTCGTTCTAATTGAAAAGAGAACACATTTATCATTATTAATACCTTCCTGTATACTCCTATTTAAATAATGATAACGAAGCATCATAATTGCATCATGCAAGATTGCTTGATATTGCAAATGTGCTTGCTTCAATAATCATATTTTTTAATAGAAGAGATTACAGGAAGCTTTTGGTATATGTGTGTGTACAAATGAAAAATGTAAAAAAAAAGGAAATAATTCGTCGTGTTTAGGATCGCTGTGGCGTTACATTCGGGCTTCGATGTCTTTATCTGGTTATATGCCACCCATGTGTGATCCTGTTGATGGCCATCTCCTACTCGACGGCGGGTACGTCAATAACCTTCCAGGTAATATTTCAATAATATAATCAAATTTGTTTATGTAAAAACGTATAAATCTGCTTTTAGAGATACGAATAAGAAAAGTAAATAATTTGTATTTGTCATAAAAATGTATAAATGATTCATTTATTAGATATGATAGATTTATATTTAATAAGTAAATTTACTTCGTTTTTACATAAAACATTTTCTAGAAAGTCTGTATGCGCGTTTTTCATACACTATTTGTGTACGCGGTTGTGCGAAAGTGCACATTTTTCAATTTAAACGTGACATTCGGTTGAAAACAAAATATTTATTTAAATCTTGTAATAATTATATTAGTGATTTGAACAAAATTATTGACAAACAACATCATAAGCTCACTCCCGTTGATAAAAGATGCATTTATCAAATTCTGAATAGCTAAGTCAACTCAGGTTTACTATGGAGATACATTCGAGCCAGTATGACTATTGCTGGTGTCTTTCCTCCTATTTGCGATCCTCTTGATGGGCATCTTTTGGTCGACGGGTGTTATGTAAATAACGTGCCAGGTATTATCTCTATAAAAGCGTGTTAAAAACGATGCTTACATTTTATTATGTTATCATCCTATTAAAATCCTACCGATTTATCAATATCCTTTTTATTTAAGCTGACGAAATGTTGAGGCAAGGAGCTCACCACATTTTGGCTATCGATGTTGGATCCCAAGATGATACCGATTTAACTAACTATGGAGATTCTTTGTCCGGATGGTGGTTATTATGGAAACGTTGGAATCCGTTTGCAACACCGGTCAAAGTTCCTAATTTGCCAGACATCCAATCACGATTAGCATACGTTAGTTGTGTCAGACAATTGGAAGAAGTTAAGAATTCTGATTATTGCGAATATATCAGACCTCCAATAGACAAATTCAAGACCCTTCAATTTACCAATTTTGATGAAATTAAAGAAGTTGGATATCAACATGGTAAGAATAAAACTTAAAGGTTATAATATGTATCGTATCGAGTAATTTTACATGCATAAATCTCTGTGTAGGCAAAACATATTTCGAAGGACAATCTAAAGTAGGAGTTCTTCCAAGATTTAATGCCGATAGAGAAAATGCTAAAGCTTTAAGAGAAAGGAATCAAGCGGAAAATCAACTCTCAATTTCTTCTTATACATTTACCGATTTAGCACAAATGGTATGTAAAGTATCAAGAGGTAATCGATACGTAGATTTGGATATTGATAGTGATTCGGATGAAATGGAAGAATACGAAGCAGATTTAGAGGAAGATGCGCAAGAAGTAGGCTACGCTTCTGAACCCACTGCCGGTATTTTAGATCAGGTAAGTTATCTTTATCAAACGCTATTGCCCACTCATATTAATATAAATTTAATTAAATGATATCTATGATATGAAATCTCATAGAGTCCTGAAGATAATCGTCATAGAAGAAGAACAGGTGTTTCCCTTAGTTTGTCAGATACAGAAGCTGAATCTGAATTAGAGTATCATCCAAAGATGTTTTAAAATATAAGTTATTAGACAAATTCTTATATTTCATTTCTAATACTCGTGTATTAAGAAGAACAAAAAAAAAGGAAATAAAAAAAAAAAGAGGAAAAAGAAGAAGAAAGGAAAATATTGTATGTAGCACAGTCCTGTTTGTTATAACAAAATTGTTATCTTATATATTCAAGTTTTATTATTAAAAATAATAATAATAATACCTTTATATTCAAGTACAAATAAACTGTCCAAAAATAGTCATTCAAATGCTCTGTTATATAAACATATATCACAATGCAATGTATCACAATGCAATGTATTCATATTGTATAGTTATAATATAATTTTAATATTTCTACAGACTCGGAGAATATTTTATTTTTCTATTTTATGTGCATTAATATTGAAACATTTTAACCCTTTCATTCTGTTAATATTAATAAGAACAATCAATAGTAGTCATTATAATTGCACATTTTGATCAAGGATCGATTGTAGTGTTATATTCACATACAAAATATTATGTAATTAGAATTAAAAAGTTCTGAAAAAATTGGATATTTGTTAATTTCGTAAATGTATGCACTGCATAGTGAAACCGTTATCTCGGCCGACGCTGCCTGACATAGGATATACAATAGCGTGCAAAAGTTTTTAACTATGTTATATATATATATATTTTATTTTTGATTAATTGATAAAATATTTAATTTCTTCGCTTGCTAATATTTTAGAGAGCTAGAATATGGATAATAACAGCTATGGCTTTGCATGCAACAGTTTGCTTGCATTTTCTTCCATATTAGTTTCAAAACATGCTTTACAATGGAAAATTAGTCTTATGTCTAACACAATGCCAAAATAAACAAATATTCAGATCCTTGAAATTATGTTAAAACTTTCTTCAGAAGGAAAGAGCTCTCGTGATATTGCGATGACTTCATTTATTAGAAAAAGTACAATTAATCGTATTATTACTAAATATAAATTAAAAGAAACTCGGTATGTGACAAAAATTGGAATGGTAGACTGCAAAATACTTCGAAATATCATAATAAGAAAATTTGCCGTAGATCTGTGAAAAATTGTAATAAACATTTCACGGAAATTAAATGAAAATCTTGTTAACGTTAGTTGGAGTATAATATCTCGACACCTGAAGGCTGTGGGACGTATTGGTGTACAAAAAAACACTAATTAATAAAAGAAATAAGAAGACTAGATTAAACTTTGCAAAAAAATATCAGCATTAGACCAGATTGACAGAAAGTGTTTCTTCTTTTTGTGTTTCTGAATTTTAATTATTTGGAAGTAACAGTTAGAAGTATATAAGACGTCTAACAGGTACCAAGTATAATATAAGATACCAAATATAATATAATATAAAATATACATATATAAATATATATATAATTATATAATACAATAAATAAAATAAAACCAGATATAATATTAGATATCAAATTTCTACCATAAAACACGGTAATGAGAACATTAAAATTTGAAGAGTATTTTCTGATGACTGTATTGATCCGATGATAGAGATTCACAGCAATATGGATGCTACAATGTAAAAGAATATATTTGTAATGAAAAGTATATCGCGTTCGTGATTGGCTTTTTCAACAAGATAATGACCCAAAACATGCTTCGCGTTTAGTGAAGAATTTTTTTCTGAGCTGAAGAGTGGGCCTTCTTGACCGGCTATACGGGCCTACTTGACGGGCCGTAACTGATCAGTTACTGGACTTATAATCAATTTAACACCTGTGGGAAGACCTGAAACATCGTATTGGAACGAAAAATCACTCCAAAAAAACGGAATTGTAGAATCATTTGTTACATGAGTGAGGAAATATTGTTACAAGAACGGATCTCGCAATGAATTGCATCCATGTCTCATCGATGCATTGCAATTATCGTTGCTAAGGACATAGCTACAAAGTATTGAATCAAATGAAGAAGTTCAAATCATGTTTCCTTACTTTTCAAATTTTTTTGTCATAAACAATAACACGCGGCAGGATACTTTCGCACAGTCATTAAATATAATAACTTTTTAATAATTAATTATTTAACAATATATATATATATACAAATTATTGCTTTCAAATATAAATGTGGAATACGTTTTGTATCATCGTCGTATGAAAAATAGAATGATTCGAAACTTTTGTAGGCTACTGTATACACGTGACCGGCCGGTTGTGCCAGAAAAGAAAGGGTCAAAATTTTGTAGTCATAGTCAAATTAGGATCCAAAATAGCAAGAGCTGCCCCTACTAAATGCAAAGACCCAGTTATAAGTACTTGAGATCTATCTTTACAAATACTAGTTTTCCCAATGGTATGTTCAATCTTAATATCATTAAAAATTTCCATTACATTTTCGGCAACAACGGAATGCTCTCCCCACATTGTGCAATACTCTTGACATTTATTTTGTTGTTCATTTATCGAATTGATCGTCGACTGAACATCTATTTCCGGTATTCCAGAAAGATTAGGCACAAAATAAACTTTATGAAATTGAATCTTTTTCAAAGATCTTATGAATAGAGACACATTGCGTTTTCCGATCATATTGAAAATCAAATATCGTTTACCATTAACATTTTCTATTTGATTAGTAAACCAAGAAATACAACAATTCATACTTTCTATAGTATGAGCACCGTCCAAATAAAAATCAAATAAAGTACCCTTTAAAATTTCTTGTCGTCCTGGCCACATGCAACAAGATAACCCTCTTGCAATTTTTTCATACGATATATGTTCTTTTTCTTCAAAATTGATATTTTTAATATTCCTTTCTACATTATTCTCCTCTAAATTGTTATTAAGTTTCTTATTAATTATCAAAGAATAGTTTTGATTAATTCGAGATTGCATCCATTGAATTGCCAACTGTATCGCTAAAGAAGCATTTTGTTGTTGAATTTGACTAAACGTTGTATTGTTTAATACATTATTTTTCCATTTATAATCCTGAAACGATGGCGTAATGTGTAAAACGGTTTGCCTCTCGATTGCTCTTTCTTTCAATATTTCTAAAGCTTCTTTTTGTTGAGGGACTGTAAACGCAATTGTATTTGGTTTGAAAATACCTGCTTTCTGATATGCTATTTCTTCTATTGTATTTCCTAATATAGAAGTATGTTCTAGCGCTAAACTCGTTATACCAACACATACAGGATTTCTTATGATATTGGTTGAGTCGTATTCTCCCCCTATTCCAACTTCTATAATTGCTACGTCTATATTTTCACGTAAAAACATATTAAACATTAAAATGGTAAGAAATTTGAAATACATTGGCATGTCCAATTCAGATTCTTTCGAGTTATCTAATTTTCTATATAAATCCCAAAAATAATAAGCAAAATCTTTTTCATCAATAGGAGAGCCATTTATCCTAAATCGTTCTTTAACGGTAATTAAATGAGGTGAACTATAAAAACCAGTTCTAAATCCATGCGCTCGCAATATGGATTCTGTAAAAGCACATACGGAACCTTTTCCTTTGGTACCGGCTACATGTATAACAGAGAGCTCGTCCAGTTGTTCCAAGCTAATACCAGACCTGCCAAAACCAACGAATTATTATTAACATTTTCACAACGGAAAACATAGCCCTAGGTCATTTCAAAGTTTTTAGCTGAATATAGGCAACGTAATCCTACGTCATTTCACAATTGACCCTTTTTAATTCATTTATTATATAAAGTGTCCTATAACTGATCAGGGAATGATTCTACATGAAAAACTAAGTTGAAAATGTACATACAATTCGTTCATACAAAAAAGAAAAATAAATTTAAAAATTTATCAAGTACACATGCACATGACCGAACTGACAACCCCAAAAACTGAAAGCCTTCTTCGATAATCATAAGGGTAGAACCAAGACAAGATATTTCATCATATTGACAATATTTATAAACATATTAAGAAGTATAAAAATGTTTTCCAAAATATACAAGAATAAGACAATAAAATCCGTCAAGCTGAATCTAAACTATTGCACACCAACTGCATATTACTGTTAAATAATATAAAACAGAAGAATTTATACTCCATCTGTAAGTCTTATTTCAGCAGCTAAGAAAAAGAACACATTTTAAATTAGATAGAATGTATTTTTCCGAATCATCATACATTTTGCCACCAATTAATCACCAATGAGACTGCAGAAGAAGATGACCAATACAGCGACGAATGAATTTTTTAACGTGTTAAATATGATATCATAAACTCACATAATGTATGAAAAATGTCATTCGTTATGGTTATTATTAGTTGCCATCTGGTGTAAGTTCCTTTTCTTAAAAAAAGTTTGATGCAACAGTTGGCATTAAATTAATTGTATTATTGTGAACTAAGTTTGAATAAAAATGCACAATTTTTATTTTAAATTATATTTTTAGTTATATTTTAAGTTATAGCACAGAACTTCAATATTATGATACTAATAATAAGAAAGTAGACTTGATTCATTTGTCAATTAAAGGACTTAAATGACTATAAGCATTATATTGATGAAATATGTAACATTTCTTATATTCAAACACATAAAAATAAGAGAATCTAGCTATACTTACTCATTGCCAACTACAAACTTTTAAAAATTATATGCCGTATTCAGCTAAAGATTTTGTCCGACTATCTTATGTCGCGAAATTTATGAATTATTAATAATCGCACAATCCAAGAGATTTTCTTAACTAATAATTAAAAAATATACTTCAGTTTATACCTATTTAAATATTTTTCCATATCCTTCAACTTGGCCGAATTTTGTGTTGGATTATTTGTAGCAATTTTGATATAATTAGAATTACTTTGAAGACTCTGCAACTTTTTAACAGCATCCTGTAAAAATAACGAGTTCATTTATTTACCGCGTACAAATTAAAAAAAAATATTATTCTAAGAAATTTGAATTATTCAAAATCAATAACATATATCATATTAAACGTAAGGATTACGTAATTACAAAGAACCGATAAAGTCAAATATTATTTTTACAATATAATAAACTTACATGGTAATTTCTAATGGTATAACTGGAACGCTCGTTATACATGTTCTTTACAATTTTCTGTAGTAAAGTAAACATTAGAGAATTCATCGGTTATATTATCGCTTAAATTATTGATCAAAATATTGTAGAATATTTTTATTTGTATATTTAATCTTACTAAGTTCAAAAAGTTTATCACAGCTGCTGATAAAAATAAAAAAAAAAAAAAAAAAAAAGATGAATAGCCGAAAAAAAGATAATTAGATAAATCTTACCGCAATTCTGAGACATGTGATTTCGAAAATATGAGCAATAGAAAATTGAAATCTTGCAAATCCCATACTATCGAGAAAAGACACATTTTTTTTTTTTAAAGTAATTATATATGTTACGTGTTAAAAACATGAATAATTCATTCAAGAAATATCATCATAATTACATTATTACCTTGAAATATATAAACAAAAAACAGTAAATAAAGGAAACTAGTCACGTGGTATTAGTGATGCACGATGACGTCATCTACGATATTGAATCAAGTTTCTTACGCATATTGTAACGTATTCACTTTCGATGTACAAATGTAGATTAACTAATTACAATTTTACACATAAAATGATGTATTTATAATCATAATAATACGTATATTTGTTAGAAAGAAAATATTCCAACATAAATAATAACAAGTTATATAAAATACAAGTGGATAGTATAATATAACCTATAAAAACAGAGTGTACAAGTTTTCTATTAACCGGTATTCTACGTATTCTTTCTAAAATCACACATATGTATATAGATACATAATAGTCTTGCTAGAAACCGCATATCCATGATCCTGAGCTACGTATTTATTTGTTTGTTCTGTATATATGTCCGACACTTGTAAAGTATTGGATACAAATTAGATATTTTTATACTTAATTTTTTTTTTATCGATCCAGTAATATCATTTGTCCACAAATCATCTGTTTAAGTGTTTAAATAATGGCTTACATGTCAATAAATTCTGGCACAACACGTAAAATGTCTTTTGGTTTTAATGGGAAATTGAATGGAGTTGAAGGTAAAACACCTTTTTTAATTGGAGTTTCGGGTGGTACAGCTAGTGGAAAGGTCAGTAAAGTTTCTACAAAGTTCTAACCTTTCTTTATTTTTCTCTTCAAAATAATAATAAATATATTGAAAAGAAAGAAAGAAAGAATATAAATATTAAATAATTTATATTATATACACATATACACATGTTTGATTTATCTGTTTTATTCAGTCAACTGTATGCAAACGTATAATGGAAAAACTGGGTCAGGTTGATATGGATCATATGCAACGACGAGTTGTTTGCATATCGCAAGATAGTTTCTATCGTGAACTTACACCAGCTGAAAAATTAAAGGCTGAGAAAGGACAGTACAATTTTGATCATCCTGATGCATTCGATAATGATATGATTTTGTTAACCTTGCAAGATATACTTGCAGGTGTCAAATGCCAGATACCAGTTTACGATTACAGAACTAACAGTTTGTATGTTCCGATTAACATTTAAAACTACTATATGTATATATATATATGTTACTGTTAAAGTTTATAATTCTGTTAATTTACGAAATAACTAGATATTTTAAAGAAAGCATATGAAAAGAATTTTATCATACATTTTAAATAATTGTTTGATGAAATAATAGTAGTTGTCTAGTTATTGTGTCAAGATTCTATTACGAGTTGTTGGTTTGGTTCTTATCAGCAAAAAATCATTTATTACTGCACATTTGGCTTCCGTGACATTTCCAATTTCATAGTATTCTCTTTTTTAAATTTTCGATTAATTTTTCAATTCCTAATACTTGAATTACATCATAGGGCTTCAATGACCAAAATCTTTTAGTTTTTTTCAAACGGAGACTTTAATACACTTAGTTCCTTCACAAGCTTTTTATATTTGACCAGTGATATATGTGTGCATTATTAGCTTTCAATTTTTCAACGAACATTTCCTGAATTGGATCTATTTCTACAAACTATAACTGTAATAAATTGCAACGTAGTATATTCAAAGTTGATAGAACAGTGCAACTAACAGAACATTTGTTTTCAAAGACATAATGATAGGTATTGTCGTAGAAACAAAAGCTGACCTTAAAGATGGTTCAAATATTAATTTTATACTTTAACTACTCGCCTATTACAAATTCATATATCATCTAGTTGAAGTATGTAATTCTGCTTTATTTTATATTTTACCTGATCGGTATAGTTATTTCACGAATTAATGAATTTAACAAAGTAACGGTAACATATACAGGATGTCCTGTAACTGATGGTATAGACGAGCAAGATATAATTATACATGAAAAATTAAGTCGAAAATATTAGTTCACGCAAAGCTTCATTTTCAAAAAATTAAGTTTGAAAATTTGTCAAGTACACATACACTTGACTGAGCTTGCAACCCTAAAAGCAAGCCTGTTCGATAAGCATAATAGTAGAACCAATACAAAAGATTTTATCATACTAACAATATTTATAAGCATATTAAAACTTAACCGACCAGTATTTATATATTAATCGGTCAATGCTTACTAATAGCCTAGTATCTATAACCAAGTGAGTACTTGAAAGTACATAAAATGTTCAACCATTACTAAATAGTTGGTTAAGTGTTAAGAATCAAAAGAACGCACTTTAAAATATTCGAGAGTAAGACAATGAAATCTACCAAGTTGAATCTAATCCAAATATACGTGCATTCGAACAAATTGTATTCTATATTTTCACTTCAGTTCTAGTATCAGCCTGCTTCTATCATCAGTTATAGGACACCTTGTATATATAGTATGTACAATTTTGTATATCTTTTTTTTAGAATGAAGGATCAGGTAACAACAATATACCCCGCAGATGTAGTTTTGTTCGAAGGAATTCTAGTTTTCTACTTTCCCAAAATAAGAGACTTATTTCATATGAAGTTATTTGTAGATACAGACTCGGACACCAGATTGGCTAGAAGGGGTAATAAAGCACATGCACACAAATATATATACATATAATATTTAAGTTATATATGATGATGATGATAATAATAATAATAATAATATTTATTTTAGTACCCAGAGATATAAATGAAAGAGGAAGAGATTTAGATTATGTATTAAATCAATACATGAATTATGTGAAACCGGCGTTTGAAGAGTTTTGCTTACCTACAAAAAAATTTGCCGACGTTATTATCCCTAGAGGAGCAGATAATACAGGTAATTATTTTTATATTAAATACCAAGTAATACGCGATATTATAAAAACAAATAAATTCTTAATACGATAAAAGATAACTATTATTAAAATTCAATTTCATTTGATGGTTAGATTATTTAGAAATACTTATTATTAGATTAACGATCATATTTTATTTAGATTTTGTTTTCAAATTTTTAACTATATATTAATTTTTAGTTAGTTAATATTCATAGAAACTTAATTTTTGCAAGTATTACGTGAAACTGCTTATCATACAATCATTCAACTTGCATCCGACGTATAAAAAATATTAAAGTATTAAAATTGTGATATTATTTGACGTAGAGATAAATAATTATTTGTAAATAAGTTTTATGTAAATTGTTTGGATGCAAGTTTGGATTTTCAGAGCACTTCTTATATTATATTATGTATTAATTACACATACTTCAGTAAATTTTGTTGCCGTTATGGATGCTGCCTGGTGTGTAAAGATAATATTATTTTCAACTTATCGACGCTTTAAACATAAAATTAAAGCAGAAAATTAATGGCATCTTCTAAAAGCATACATGGTTTTGGTTATTGTATGTTTGCAGTGGCAATAGATCTAATAGTGCACCACATCTGGGACATTTTACGCTTGAAAAAGGCTGAAAAATCAACCGGGCAGCATCCATACATCTGTCAGCATAGGCGTACTTTGGCTTCATCCGACACACTCAGCATATGATTTGAGAAAATAACACACGATGATATTGATTACATGCACTGCATCTTTGCACTAGTAAACTGCATATTTCTTACGCAGTAACCTCGCATCCGTTGCTTTTTATACTTATTATGCTCGTTCTGTGCGTGTACGTGTAATATATTATACTATATACGCACGCTCGCTCATATTAAGTCAATGTTATGTGCTTATACTTATCACTTTAGAAATGGTAATCATAAATTAACCCTAATAGCATTTTTCTATCTTTTTTTTTTTTTTTTTTCTCTCTAAATATAATAAAATTTGCATTACATTTGTATCAAGTAATACTTCATAAACCATTTCTTTTCCAAACTAATACGATGGAGACAGGTATGAGAGAGAGAGAAAGAGAAAGAGAGAGAGAGCATTTCAAAGTTTCTTATTAATGTTAGCTTTTATTTTACACATGGTATGTTGTATGTTTATATTACCGTCTAATAGATATATGCACGTTTGTATCTTTATAAAGAAGAGCGTCCCAAGTATTACTACTTAAAAGAGATAGCTTTAAGTATTTTATACATATGTGTTCACGCTCATAACAAATCGATATTATGCACTTTCGTTTGTAAAAATTTAAATTTTCCTTTAATCATGTCCATTCAATTTTGCATAATACAATTAATCATGAAGCATAAATGAGCATAATTAAGTAAATTATTACTTAACAATTTCATATATTAGGAGCATAATTTTACATTTAATTTCATTGTTTTAACAAGATAGATATATATATTTATATATATATATATACACATATACACACACATTTAATAATTATTTATTAGATATAATTTTATGTACTTAAAAGAAATTTTTTATTTATATTATATAATTTTATTCACTTTTAGTAATTTACTTATTATAGTTAAATAGTCGATTAGAAAAAAAAGATTAAAAAAAAAATAAAATAAAGAAATAAATAAAAAGTACCACCTCGTTCTCAGTAAACGCAAATGTAAATTACAGAATACATTACATAATTTGATATACTTTAGATAAACGTGTATGTAACATAATATCATAATAAAAACATTAAAGAAAATTTTTTGGTTATTCAAGAAGTAACCTTTAACCGTATATTGATTCGTTACACTTTGTTACAGTGGCAATAGATTTGATAGTACAACACATAAGAGACTTCTTAAGCAATCGTGGTAGAGTAACGATGGAATCTGAGAGTTCGATAAGCAGAACTGAAGGATTGTTCAAGAGACCACATTAATGCTGATCATTTTAGTTTTTCTTTCAATACAAATATTACATTAGGTTTTATTTTAGAATTTTTAGAATTAAGAAGTTATAAAGTCTTTTATAAATGAACAAAAATTATTATTTTTTTGAAAAATATTTATAGTACTTTATAAAAGACGCTTGAATTTAATATATTATTATTTCTAAATTCTCTCTACACATTACAATTAATTGAATTAATATGAAACTTTCTCAATTTATTATATTTATCTACAAAAACATCTAAACAAGCGTTACTTATTATAAAATTATTATAATATCGTTGTCTTGTTTGTTCAGACTTATTTAATTGCATGTTATATTAAAGAAAATTAGATTTTATCTTAATATTGAAGGCGTCATATTTATTTAAAATAAAATTTTAAATATATCTATGGATATAACAACATTGTTAAATACCAACGAAAATTTGTTTTTATTTAAAATCTAAAACCTACACAAATCTTTAATTAAATTCAAACTCCGATGGGGGGAGGAAAAAATTCCTATCGGAGACACGTTATACGTACATTGTAAACAAATAATATACATAATTAACACACTGGCATCGATAATGCAATCGATATAGATTCGAAAGTTCCACCTAAACGTCGATAGCGCCAAAATTTTACTGCGTCGAAATTGTTAATTAAAATCGCCATATTACTTCACAGTTGCACACTTAAATTCCTGTACCAAATGATTTTTATTATCATTGAATTATTGTATCTTTATATAAGTATAAATTATTATAAAAATATGTTTATATGTCACTTATCAATAATATATATGAACTTTACACTACAAGTTTTTTTCAATAATTACATATATATGTGATGAGTAAAGCCAAGTAGATGCTGCCAAAGAATACAGAAGAACATAGAAGCTCACAAATCCACTTTCACGTAACCAGAATCATTTTAGTTAGTACCGGTACCACCAGTGGGCGATAGTATATATAGTATATTTATATTGTAATAGAATTTGAAATAATTATTTTTAATTTATAGTGTATAATAAACATATGTGTGCCTATAGAAATGCATTTATAATATCTTCATTTTTATATAATTATTTTAACGTTCTTGCGCAGTGATAACTTCGAGAGTAAAATTTTCCTGTAATATAAGTAAAGTGCATTAGTGCATTAAAATAATTGTTAATTAATCGATACAACTGTCTATTATTGTCTAACAGCTCGGAGTATATCTTCTGTGTACAGTCCTCTTCGAAATTCACCTTCAAACTGACACGTTGTCATCTATGAAAGTACTTTTATTACATGTTGTTTATATGACTTTCCGAATGTTGCGCATGTGTGTAACGGGAATAATATTCGTAATAAATAGAATTTCCTTTTTCGAAAAGTCATATAAACAACTTTAAATAAAAGAACTTTCACAGAAGACAACGGGCCAGTCTGAAGGTGAATTTCGAGCGGAACGGTACTTAGATCTTATGTTACGTGCTTTTAAACAACAATAGACATTACCTTCGATTAATTAGCAATTATTTTAATTACTCTAACGCATTCTACTTATATTTAAAATTGTTTTAAACATTACATACCTATTAACGTGTTTTGAATATTAATTAATTCCGATCTGATATTGTACATAAACAACAAAGCAACAGTGGTGTTAATACAGAATTAATTATAATGAAATATCTTAATAATTCTCGTTTAATGGTTAATAAAATTGTTTTAAACATTACATACCTATTAACGTGTTTTGAATATTAATTAATTCCGATCTGATATTGTTTTAGATGAAAATTTTACCCCACCCCCTCAAAATCATCACCGCGCAAGAACGTTAAAATAATTACATAAAAATGAAGATATTAAAAATGCATTTCTATATAGGCACACACATGTTTATTACACTATAAATTAAAAATAATTATTTAAAATTCTATTACACTAAATATATATAATTCTACTATCTATTCTTTCAAAGAATATATCATATACTATCATACACTATAAATATCAAAGAATACTGAATTCTTTGATAGTATTGTACCGTCATCGCGTTAAATATCTACTGTCGCCCACTGGTGGTTCCGGTACTAACTAAAATGATTTTGGTTACGCAAAAGTGTACTTGTCAGCGTCTATGTACTTCTTTATTCTTCGGTGCTGCTTATCACGTCAGGTTGCTGAAATAAGAGATCAGAATTTGAGGCTACTGGTGTGTTTTATTGGTATGTGATACAAATTGCGTGTGCGTGTGAGAATGAATTAGAAATCTAGTTAAACGTAAACGAATGAATGAAATAATAAAAACGAAGGCGCATAAGAGATAAATGAGAGAACAAACGAATGTGGAACAATTTCATCATAAAATACAAAAATATATAGAAGCTCACAAGTCCATTTTTTGCGTACCTACAAATACTCTGACCACCAGTTGGCGAGAGTAGGTACTTAATGCGATGACGCTACAATACTATAGCATCTAACTGGATGGTCCGATCGTAATTTTAGGTTAGGGTTTCAAAACAGTCGTCATTGTTCTGTTTTTCTTGCGCTCTAGTAATTGTGTTCTTATATATATATATATCAATAGCTTATTTGCTCTGAATTATTTGTTATAGAATAATCATTTTAAAGTAAAATTTGATTATTAATAATTTGTGATACGCAATATCGAATTCATTTTTTTGTTTGTTTTCGATCAAATGTTTTATTAAGTAACATGCCGTCAAATAATAAGTGTTATTATTCTGGATGTAATAATACGAAAAAATCACGACCTGATTTGGTATTTCACCGGTTTCCCACAGATAAAGAAAAGTAAGTATTAATTTTTTAACAATGTTATAATAAGTTAACAACTATATAACTTGTACTTCAGAATAAATATTATTTTATTTTTTAATGTTAGATTGTCAATGTGGATTCAATCTTCTGGCCATCAAGTTGTTGGTGAAGTCGACGAACAACTACAATGGAATCATCGTTTGATCTGTTCTAACCACTTCAATCCAGAAGATTACAAGGCAGGATCCAGACCAACTTTAAGTAAAAATGCAGTACCCAAATGTTTCAACGCGTCAGTCGTTAATAATATTATAAATAACAATACTAATAATTATAATAATAACACTGATGATGTAAATAATACTATTAGTTCACGATTGAATTTTGATGTTCATTGTGACAGTAATGAATGTCAAAATTCATCGAACGAGTTCCACGAACATAAACAACAAAGTAACAGTAGTGTTAATACAGAATTAATTATAATGAAATATCTTAATAATTCTCGTTTAATGGTTAATAAGCTCCGAAAAAAAAATAATGTTCTGCGACAGAGAATCTTTCGTTTACGTAGATCTACCCAAAAATGGAATTATTCACGTCTAATTGCACTAGCAAAAACCGTAATTAAAGATGAAAAAACATCATTTCTAGTAGAAATGCAAATTAGCCATTTAAAAAAAAAAAGCTGGTCGGAGGAGGAGAAAAATTTTGCGCTTTCCATCTACCAACGGAGTTCACAATGTTATAAATTTTTGCGAAATGAGTATAATATGGCTTTACCATGTGTTACTCTCATTCGCAAATGGATAAACGAAATGCAAGAATTCTAGCGTTAAAATAAGTATGTTTGATATATTAAAATGTTTCTAGTTTTTGTTTAAATGTAATATATAAGGCAATTTAATTTTTTAATTACAAAAAAATGTATTATATTTATATGTACAGGAAGAACTTAAAATAAATAACCAAATTGTAACAATAAATAAACAAAACTGGTGTGTGTACTCATGTACGCATGTAAGAAGTTATACTTCTTTAGCGTACCAAAACAAATATAACCTCAATAACCTCAAAAATAACTTCAAAAAAATAACTTTAAAAAAAAACATTATCATCAAGAATAACTCCAACTATGCCGCGTACCAATATAATACTTACTTTAAATTTGTCAATAAGACGATAAAATGATGAAATAAAAAATAAAGGTTTTTATTACAATTAATAAAGGTTTAATTTATATATATATAAGTATAATCTAATTTATTTTTTTATACGTGAGGAAGCAGAAGGGTTTAATTAAAATAAGAAATTGAAAATAAAACAATTGGTTAAGCCAATACAACAAGGTATAATACTTTATTGGCTCGTCAGGGAAAAGCCTTGTGGCACAAAAACCCTGGTTGATAAATTATACGTAATAAGGAATTGTGTCTAAGCAAAAATTGAACACGTGTTTCACCTCTGGCTTGTATAAAAGTTCTTGTTGATAAATTATTTATAATAAGGAATTGCGTCTAAGCAAAAATTAAACACGTGTCTCACCTCTCGTTCGCTTCGCTTGTATACGGATTCACCTTGTTTATGCAAGTACAAGGCACACTTATACTTTGCTTATTTCGCTTCTTGCTTGTATTGCTTTGTTCGTCGGTTTCTTTGTAGATTCTTCGCTGGTTGTTTAAAACGTAGCGTCGTAAGCGTATAGTGGAAGAATAGGACGAGTGTCATTGTTGATGGACCCAGTAGGGCGTGCTTAGCAACGGTTTGAAGAGTGGGGAGGCGCGATAACAACATTTCGATATTCTCAGTATTCTCAAAATGATTGAGTCGCGTATTTCGAAAATATACGCTAAGAATCTACAATCTTTACAAATGGTACATAGATCGTTATCATGTTTAGTGCCACACGAATTTTGATGGAAATCCTTGTCAGGTCACGCACGTTATTTAGTATTGAATAAATGTAAAACAAATGTAAATAACTTCAAAAAATAAAGACCAAACAAATAAAATAAATAATAAGCAATAATATTAGTTTTTGCTGTGACATTTAAATTATTTAAATTTGTACTGGTAATCACAGGCTAAGCCGATTGTTCGCAAAGTAAATAAGAAGTTGACGGAATACATAAAATTTCATTCGCAGACAATTCATATCCTTGTGCAATCATTTTTTTTTGCAGCCTATACGCCCTACAACGTTCCGCATTAGTTTGCGTTTTAGTTCCTTATTTTCCTTATTAATCTTCCTACGAAGACGATATTCTTTAAATTTCTCAGCATTAGTTTTAGGCATCTCGAAAACTTAAACAGAAATTTATATGTATACTGATCCTGGTCAAAAATATCAACATATAGATATCAGTCCACACTAAATATAAGGGACTTATATCAAATGACTTCATGTGTCAACAAGTAAGGCATGGTGACAGCACTAATTCCTGCTCGACAATTTAAGTCAAGCAGTGCTTGAGTACGATTAGGACTTGGATGTGTGGGTGACCGCTTGAGAAAAAAAAATAGAGAAAGGAGAAGACTTCATGCCATATATTTGCAATTGCTTTGCCTGCGCATCGTAAATACCGACAACTTCGTAGAGTCGATTTTTCGGTCGCATCATAAAAATTCATTCTCAATCACTTTTTTTCATACGCGCCAAAAAAAGCAAAACTTCAAAAATAGCTTGTTGAATTCATGTAGTATCTCGTTCTTTTGTTAGAATGTAGTATTAAAATAATATCAAGATTTCATAAATGAGCTTTTTAGAAGGATCACAGGATGCAGAAGAAAGTAGCATGTAAAAATAGATTACCTCATGGCATTTCATGTACTGTTACTTCTTTGGTAGAAATTTTTATTAAAATGAAATCAA